TCAGCTCAGCTCTGTGCTGAGCTCTGAGAGCGGGAAAGACGGACTACCCTCCCCTGCCCTCTGCTGGCGCGTGCTGTGCATTACAACCAATGTCGTCCCTGTCAAAACTCCGTGTCAGTGTAATAGAATGAAACGCATCTGTGACGTCACGGTATTGAAAATCATACCGACGGTATTTCGAAATACCCTGGTATACCGTAATACCGTCATACCGCCCAAGCCTAATATCAATTATACTTTACCTCTGGCTCCCGGGTCGTGCATTTGAGTCCTTATCCTTGTGTATCCGAGTTCGTAACAGTATGCCAGGGCAGGTTTGCCTTCACTTACTGTTCGGGGACTCACTCATTGGTACATGTTCATATATAAAGCCATGTTGGGTAAACTCCCATCTTATATCTGCTCTCTGATCACACAGAGTTGCAGGTAGCTATTGCCTGAGATCACATGATGTGGTCTTGCTACATGTGCCAAGTGCAAGGACTGACTTAGGTACGAAAGCTTTTGTGTGCGCAGCTCCTCTTGCTTGGAACAGTCTTCAAAAATAATTGAAAATGAGCTATTTGGTTCAACTGCCTGTTTTTAAAGCTTGGATAGGTGAAATGGTCTTTGATACTGTTGGTACTTGTAAATGTTGATGGTATGTAAATGTAGCCCTGTAAATATGATGTATGATGTCCTTTATTGTTTTATTTTGTTTCATGTGTAACCTACTTGCTGCAGGTCTGCGAGAAATGTAAGATGCTCATGAGCCACCATCGAGGGAAGGTTTCCAGCACCTTACTGAATACATGACAGGATATCAAAAACCTTTACTATTATCTGGAAGCGCTTAGATTTTGACTGAAGACTAAAGCTGGACTCAAATCCTTTGTCACAGTTGAACTAACATTAACAAATCTGACAAAGAAATAACCTAACAAGCAACATCAACACAGTTGTATGGCCGAAGCCCATTTGTAAATGCAATCAGTTGATACTTTAAACAAATATATACAGGACAGAGTTAATGAACAAACAATAAAGCATTGGTGGATACACAAATAAAGCATTGTAAAAAGAGTATTTTTCTTAATGTTTTCATAGTGTTGTTGTGCGGAAGTGTGCTTTGTTTCATGGCAGTGATCAAGGCTCATTGCCAATAGCAACCAAAGTGTGTAATTACATGGTTCCACATTTTGTAATCCATACAGATTTCAATGTTTTGCCCAATTAGACTAAATCATCTCACCCTGAGCTACGGTGGCCGAAAGGTTAAAACGTGTTCCAACGGCCCAAAACATTTCCATCAGGAGAAATACGCTTTAAAAAAGTTTCAAATATAAAAACACAAATGTGCCAAAACACATGCAAATATAGAAACATCTTTAACGACTTGACAACACGTGCAAATCTTTTTGAAAACATTTACAAAACATATGCAACGTTACTGTAAGTGAAAGCACTGCACAAACAAAATGTTGCAAATAAAAAACTAAAATGTAAGTTTTATCAGCTTATTTTTAACAATGTGATCGCATGACTCCTTCTGATATTATTGCACATCTGCTCCAAGCTATAGCTAAGGTAGCTAATCGAGTCATTACAAATATACTGACAATCACTTACAGGTATGGCAAAGACTAACTGCTACAGTGACATTTGGCTAACTTTATAATCCTGAACATCACCTAGCGCTCCGGCCCCACTGCGGTCCAACTGTGCCCCCTGGTGTCCGTTGTATTTTGGCCTTCTTGCAGCTTTTTTATATTTGCAGCGTTTCGTTCATGCAGCACTTTTAGTAAACCCGGCTCATGTTTCCTCAAGGTGGTGAATATTTTTCAAAATGCTGCACATGTTTTGTAAAGTTGTTGATGATGGTTCTTTATTTGCATGTAAAATGAAATACATTTGTGTTTTTTTATTTGCATAATTTTTTTATTTTCAAACTGCAGCGTGTTTCCCCTCCTGTTTGGGTCATAGTCAAAGGTTTGGCTCTGTCGGCCCCGTACTGAGCAGAAGTTCAATTCAAGTTTTTTGACATCATTTTTAACATCGTGAATAGAACCCCTGTGTACCTGATAGGACATTTGGTTATGAAGTAGCACATCATTAGTGCTTTGTAACTGAAATACATTTTTTCATTCATCTACAGCATAGTTAACAAATATTTGTATGACCGGCTTTAACACAGTGGCTGTGTATCTGATTGTCACAGGGACAAGGATGTAATCCAATTAAAAATATAAACATTTGAAAATGAATGCACCAACATTAAAATGGCAGACTCAGAGGTGAAGAGAGATAGACACACTGATCTAGAGGTACTGGCTGCAACACACTATAAGCATCGCTCTACAACTTTGTAAATTGTCGGTGGATTAGTCACACTTCTGAAACCCGCAAACTTTTATATAGAAAGACTTCTCGCTTTCTCATTTCTCGATCTCATTAAAATACTCAGAGAAGCCTGAGTACGGAGCGAAGTCCCCGGGATCTGAAGAGGAGGACACAGATATTACTGTTACACAGGAAACAATGCAGACAGTATTACTTTAGCCCTAACACATTTAAAATACCCATCCCCTGTGGAATAATACTTCTGTTACTCACCTTCACATGGTCCTCTTTTAAAGGAGATGTCATCAATAGAAATATCACTTCGTAGTGATGGGCCTCGGATGGCTTCAAATATGATCTGAAAGAGACACAAACAATGTGATTGTATATGATGTACATATGTCTAATATGGATCAATTATATCCAG